GTGTGATGTTTATGAAGATAATTAACTACTTTAATACTCTGGAAATAACAAAAATAACATTATTCACTTATTTTCTTGGGTGTAAGTTAATCTTTTTGGAGGTAAAATTTGAAAAGAGAAAAATAGGATGTAAATTATGATAATTCATTTTTCTTTAATCCATCTTCAAGAATTTATTAGATACTTTCTACTTTATTGAGGGGCCATTTTTCTTTTTAATATAACAACTAGCAAAGATTCCAGTCAAGGGTAGAAAAGAAGAAACTATTAGCAAATTAACTGCTCCCATTTAGGCTGGTATTCTCGAATTTAATTATTACAAGTTAAAACTTCTTCCTTCTAAAAATAAGTACAATGGTTTTTAGAAATAAACTTTAGTTTTTACAAGTATTAAATTTCCAATGAATAAAGGCAAGTAACATATTTTTTGAAACAGTTTCTTTATCAGTAAAGTTATGACATTAGATCAGCAGTTATTTAACAAATCTTTTTTTACAAAACTCTTCAAGAACAAGATAAAAATTACGGACACTCTTCCTAGCAAAAAATACATACAATATTTGATAATAATTTCAAGGGATTCACAGACCCTCTGAAGCTCATCAAAATATAACTGAGTAAAAAGGAAACAGAGTATATTTAAAATACTTTGTAGCTTTAAATTTTGGTTTCAGAAATAAGTTTAAAGCCTTTAAACAAAAGGAAGTCTTGAAAATAAAAGTGAAAACCCAAACAATCCATGAATTTACTCACTGCGGTTAAAGATGTTAGCTTAGAAAGCTTGAACACTTTATCTATATATAGATGTAGGTGTTAATTTGACAAAATAATTCATACCTTAGACATTAGAAGTTAGGCAAAATAAGATTCTTATATAAACCTGGGATATTTCTAGACATGGAAACGTGATATTCACAGCTTTCAAGTGACAATAAGTTGTCTCCTCCCAACCTCACCACCACCACCAGGTTCAATTCCTTCTTAGAGTGAGGAAGAAAAATTTATGTAATGTAGGCTATATTTGAGATTTTTTAAAAGTGACTATATGGGGGGAAGGGAAATACTTTCAGATCCTTAAATTTCTTATTTAAAAATAATTGTTGGGTCACTGCCAAAAAAACAAAAAAAAAAAAACCAACAAAAAAACAACAAAAAAAAATGACTTACCTGTAATTCTTGTTCTCTGAAGGAAATGCAATAATTATAAACATATCCACACTCTTGGGTACATTCTCCTAAGCATGAATGGATTTGGAATGCACCATGGCTTACACTGATCTGCTAAACTGCCAAACCACACTGGCAGTTGGATCTACCTACCTAGCTGGTAATGAAGCAGAGCTGTCACCTATAGTCATTCATCTGGTGAAGGCAAGTGTTCCTCGAGAGGGAGTGTGGAGCTGGTGGAATTACTGTCCTTAGAGAACACGAATTATAAATGGTCTCTCCTCTAGAGCTTAAGGGGCACAAAATCACTACTAAAGAAGCTGTTAAATGCTTCAAAATGCGACTTAAAATTCGAACATTAAAAAATGTTAAAGAATATGAATGGAAAGTTGCTCCTCTGTAAAAGAAGCCCTTAAGGGAATGAGAGCTACTGGTATAAGAACTATTTTTTGACCGGGTCAGAATCCAATGGTCAACACCATAGCGGAGAAGTACAAGTACTTAAATACTTGTAAGGTAAGCCTTACCTTGGCATATAGCAATCTAATATTTTGTGATAATGCTTACCAACTTGAGAGTTAAGTGACAGCTGCAGCAGTGGTAACCAATGGTACAAAATAATGTGAAATAGCCAGGAAACTGCTGAGATTATCACCAAGTATGAATTGGTTTCCATAAGATGTGATACTAGTAACGTGCTGTTAGACAATACATATTTTATAAACTCATCAGTTTATAAAATTAGTTACTCATCAAGTAACTCATCAGTTTATAAAATTTCATGAACCTTTTAGCTTAGTGTAATAATTTAGATGTAAAATGTTTAATCTGTAAGAACTGAGTCCCTGTCCTATCGGCCTCTCTTCTGTCTTAAACATCTTCAAAAATTAGGAAGAAATGGGCTATAAATAATTTCTGGATTACATACTAATTTTCAGAGGGTTATTAAAATCCTCTGCAAAGGAAGAGATTCTCTATCCTCTAGTCTCAGAATTTTCTAGGCAGCCTGATGATGTCTTCTACTCAGTTAAACCAGGGTTGCCAGACAAAATACAGACACCCAGTTAAATGTGAATTTCAGATAAATAATTTTTTTATAAGTATGCCCCAAAGATAGCATGAGACATAATTAAACTAAACAATTACTTGTTATATAATTGAAATTCAAATTAAACTGGGCATCCTGTTTTTGTTGGATTGACTGACTGATCGATGGACTGATTTGATTGTCTTCTGCTAAATCTGGAGACTAAACCAGGGATGTTCACAGGGTTACCCAAGAGACTTCAATATGGATGATGCTAAAATGGGAGCTACACTCTTGTTCAAGATCTGCACTGTCTAATATGATAGTTAGCCACATGTGGCTATGAACACTTGAAATGTGGCTAGTTAGTCTAATACAAAATGTCTGTAAAGTGTAAAATATACATCAAATTTTGCATGCTTAGTATGAAAAAAAGTAAAACATCTCATAATTTTTATACTGATTACGTGTTGAAATATTTTAGATGGTAGGTTAAATAAAATGTAATTAAAATTAATTTTGCCTGTTTCTTTTTACTATTTTAATGTGGCTATTAAAAAATCCCTTTAATTACTTATGTAGTTTGTATGTGTGGCTTCCATTACATTTTTGCTGGACAATATTGGCCTAGATGGCTTCAAGGCGAGAGTTGGGCTAGAATTTCTTTCTTATTCCTTCTCTAAAAAAAAAAAATAATCAATATTGGTAAACACAGGGCTGCCTCTCTCACTTCCCCCTCTAGCTATTAAGAGTAGGTAGGAAACGTAATCATACTATGGAAACTAAATTTCTAGTAAAGGCTGTTTCCATGGATTGGCTATTTTCTTTTAAAAACAAACACTAGTATGCACATGTTGTGTGATTAAATATGTCGATGTATATGTAAAGGTAAGATATTCTCCTAAATTCTAGTTTCAACGGGAGACTCCCTCAGTGCCATTATGTTGGGGTTTCACTCCTATATATTATCAAAATCATAAAATAGTTTATTTTGTTGCCTAATAAGTTATTTATAAGAATTGTTGGGAAAGCATCTTATTTTTGATACTCCAGACTTCAGTGGTCCCTATTTATATATTCATGCTTCATAACAGATTTGAAATTAGAGCACTAGTTCTAGAATAGTGAAATAAATTTTTCTTTTTATCAAATATATTGCCAATACTATCCTAAGACAAATTTTTTAAAGGGGAGGCTTTTTAGATTAAAATAATTCAGTTATAATAAAGCCTTAATTTAGATAGGAAATAATAATGTTTATTCTTATGTTCCACTTTACGTTTTCAGTAGGTTTAGCTTTCGATTCAATTTTTTTTCTCAACTGGCCCAAAAATGAGGCATTCATTTATTTTGCTCCATGCTATTACAGAGGTTAAAAATATATAACATGCTCTCACAAATAAAATTTTTTAAAAATTATGTAGAAAAATTATCTCTAAATATCCAGCAAGCTCTATTTCTTCACTAACATAACTTATGTCATACATACTTTGAAGATTTAAATCTTCTGAAGGTGCTTGTAGTTCTAACTCCTCAAATATTAACCTACAAAAAAGTAAATTGGTTCTCAAGGTTTTTTTCAAAAAAAGTTGTATTTTTTTCTTATTCTAGCAGCAAAGAGTTTTTTTCTTCCTTAATATCTTTTATTACACAGATATTAGAAGAACAATTGTTTTTAAAAGACAATAAAATTTATCATAAACAAAGACAGGGCCTACCAGATAAAAATCAAATTTAACTGTTCATAAAAAGTTCACATTTTGTAGAACTAGTTTCCAAAATCGCTTGTATGGATTTAATTTCTTCATCAGTATTTCAGCACTTTAAGTCTACACTGTCAATTCTATAGTATCCTGGTGATTATAATCTGAAACATCTTATTAGACATTTAGTCTCTTAGTGGCACCCAAAGTTATTCTTATCTAATACTAACCTACTTTTAATATTGATGATTTTCAAAATCAACATGTTCCTGTTCTTCTTCATAATCAATGAATAACCAAATGACAATTTAAGTTAAGATTGTTATTTTGCGAGTTGTCAATAAATTGTAAAAAGAACAATAAGGTTTTCTGATGTTAATTATTAATTTACTGAAATATTAATTTATTTATTCTTTATAAAGTTACCCTGCTGGAACCAATTTATACATTCTCCATTTCCTGAAGACAGGAAAAAGTTACGATAGGAAAAAAACTGGTGATTTTGAGTGATTTTTTCAATTAGGATCTGATATAAGAAATTTTATGATCATATACCTAATACAGATTGAGATGGCCTTTGCTTCCATACTTTCTGAAGCTTAATACGGATTTAAAAATGGTTTGAGAGACTTTTTTGAAATAAAAATAAGAGACAGCTTTTAAAAGATCATGAAAAGCAAGACTGCAAAGCTACTTATATCAATTTAATCTAGTAAGTCACAAGATCGCTTAAATGCTGTCACTGTTTCAAAATTTTTTAATGCAAATCTCAAGATCTCCAAGAAGTTCTTGATGAGGGATAAACCACAGCAATTAGTGAACTAATTTAAGATACACAATGAACTGAAAGACAAGTTTTACTATAATTGAGAATTTTTAAAAAACAGAACAAATACAACCATACATCTCTAGGACATGCTTCACTTGTAAACAATGAAAACCATCTCTTGACAGATGTGTATGATGTTCTGCCCACAAGCAGCTGCCTAGGCCCCCTTCTGTGAGAAAGTCTGATGGCCTCAAATCCTCAATGGAGCATTCCAAAGCCAGTCCTGCATTAGGAGTTTGGGCGCATGAGTGTGCACTCACTACACAGTGCTTACCTTTAGAGAACAAGGTGGCTGACACAAACTGATCAAGTTCTCACACCCCACACCTCCAAGAACACTGAAAAAGATCTGCAGATCTTTCTTGGTGCAGGAGGGACCTCTTTTTAATCTTCTTGTGGTGGAAGTTTAAGATTTTCCTGAAGGAGGAGAGAAGAGTAAAAGATTATACTGAGATTAAACCATTTAGTTCAAGTTTATCTATCCATATTACAAAAAGGAGTTGCTGAAGAAAATAAATTAGATAAAATCATGGGTATTCTAAGAATCACATTCCCTTCTTTCAAAAAAAAGTATCTTCTCTATATAATATTGCATCTTTCAAATATTACTTCTTAAACTCAAAACCTAAAGTGACTAGTTCAACTTCTACCCTAGCACTGAACTATCGGTTGGAAAGTTGAGAAAAAATGAAAAATTTTTGGGTTGCCAAATGACCATAGTTATAAATTTCATTTTTTAAAAAATAAAGCTAAACTCATTAAAAAGCAATGAGTTAAAGAGAGCTAGAAGAAATTTTGTCCTGCCTTTATATATCTCTATATTTTCAAATAATGACATGCATTTCTTGATAACTAACAGAAAAGTAGCCTGTTTAATTGTGTTAAATGCCACAGAATCATATATGAGGTAATCCACCAGAATGAAAACTCCCTGAGGAAATGGGTTTGGGGTGTGTTTTTTTAACGATCATTATCTAAAGAGCCTCAAATAAATTCGTGGCACATAGTAAGCACTAAAATATGTGACAAAGAATATTAACCGATTAGTCAATATTCTCAAGGTCGAAACTCACATAAAATAAAACAATTAGAAGTCTACAAATTTTCTGAGGGGTTTGAAAATGTGTTATATAAAAATGTTACTATATCAACCTTTAATCACATATTAAATAACAATATAATTTTAAAATTCTATGTCATAAAATATTTATGAGAAAATGCTATAAATATATTCTTATATATGACTACTTTAAGATGAGGAAATCACAAACTGTATCTTAAAAATGTCACCAAATATCAAATATAAGAGTAAGAATATTAAGATACATAAAAACTAACATGCCTTCTTAATACTTTAATATTATTTTTCATCTTTTGAAGAGGTTTACATAAACCAAATGATAATATAGTTATCTAAATCTATAATTCTGCCTAAAGTAAATGATTACCATAATATTAAACTGAAATCAGAAGATACCATTCTATCAGTATGACTTTCATATTTAAAGTAGTTTTTTAAATCATAAAAAACAATTTAACAAGAAATGCTGAATAGTATTCATTTAGTTTTTTTGTAACTTATAGACTATTACTAAAAACAGAAATTCATTTCCTTCAAGTGTTTTCCAACTCTTTCCAAACTTAATAAATTAGGGGAAAAAGAAGAAATGATGAATTCAGTAACAGATAAATCAATAATAATTGTTAAAGGACTGAATATGTATATGAATTTTTAATCCAAAATGCAAAGCCATTAGAATCAGAACTGTTACGAAGTACTAGACTCCATCTGACTTCAAATTCCACAAAGCAGAATCAGTCCTCAAAACAAACCGGGCACTGCATATGCTGCATTTCACTTCAAGGTATAGAAAACTAATGTATAGCCAAAAATATATTAAGAAAACAGGTAGTGAGTTAAGGATTTATGCTTATCCCTTTATCATTAAAATAATGCTTTAGTTGACACATTATGCCTTGATTACAGGTTAAAAGCTTTCCACATTTCACAAATAATTCAATTTACTATCTTGTATCAGGGAATCAGGGGTAAAATATGAAAAAAAGGAAGAGATTTTAAAACAAAACTTAAGCTCACTTAAAACAAATTTCCTACTTGGGACATCTTGCCAGACTTTGAAACTGACTTTGGGGGTAAGGGATGAAAATAGTTACAAAGAAACTTAAATGCAACAATATGACAAAAAGATCTTAAAAGGGGTAAAGGAAAACACAAAATTGGAAATTTTGCTAAAAGGAAAAGATTCTGAGAGCTGGTTTAATCCTCCGTGCCCAGGAGGGTGAAAAGAGGAAACAAGTTCCCCAGAGAGAAGCACTGACTGGGAACTCCTTTAAAATCCTTACTCACATTGCTGGGTAATGGACCTTGTGCCTCAGTTCCACCAGCAGGAGGGATGAAGTCTAAATTTATCACATTCAGAGATTTAGTGTTCAATTTTCAATTTCACTTGCAAGTACTTTTCAATTTCACTTGCAAGTACAGATTATCAAGCTATACTAACACCAAATTTGTTTCTTAGAAAACTTCCTTAAACTGCCTTTTTTTTTTTTGACCAATGTTTCTCATACTGTCTGTAGTGAAGGACTCTTTATTTCTATTGTAGGCCCCAACTCATGGAAGACTACTGCTCATACTACGCAGAACTCTAAGTAGCTTTTAAATAACCAGACCAGTCTCTCCCTCAGTAAGATAGGTGATTTCCTTGGATGACACAGAAATAACACCTTGCTATAAAAGTTTCTAAATAAGTACTGAAACTGAGAGTGAGCATTTAGTCACGGTGTCATGGACTGATATAACCAGCACTAGTTCAATGACCATACTTTATGAAATGCTGATCTAGGTTACAAGTACCAGGTCCCATGGTACTGTTCCTTACACCTTTTTACTGCATCCAATTTCCAGTTTTAATTCATTAGTAACCTCAGAAATTATCAACTAATAAATTATCCATGACTTGCTCCAGTTCTTTCCTGTAGCACTGTATGATAGAACTTTCTGCTCTGTCCAAACGGTGAACATTAGCCATAAGTGGCTATTGAGCACTTGAAATGTGGCTACTATGACTAAGGGACTAATTTTTTTTTAAATGGGAGAAAAGGTAATTTAATATGTGTATATGAGAAAATCAATATGCTCAGATCATAAAACGAGGCTCAAAGAGATGACTGAATCAGGCGGCTTTTTATACCTTTTAGACAAACAATACATTTTAAAGAAATTGACAGGAGAAAGAAAATTCGTGCTCATTAGAAAGGAAACTAAGCTAGGTTTGGGTATTCATTAGTGAGAAATCTAAGTTTGGGCCTGGGTAGTAAATTAGTAAGAACATTGGTAAGGCTTGTTTATACAAGCTTTCTACTCTGAGTTCTTTCAGATCTTGTAACAAATTTGTCTCTCAGCCCTCTGAGAGACGAAATTTTAAACTTTACTTAATTCAAATTTAAATTGCCATATCCAGCTAGGGGTCATCATATTGAATGGCACAGTGCTAGAGTGCTACATTATTTTCACTTGACCTTTTAATTAGTGTTTTAAAAAAATCACCCACTTCCTTCAATGCTAATATAAATATTGTCAATGCCACTTTCCATATGTACATATAGGTATTTACATACTTGTAATCACAGTACATAAATTTACTAATTTATTTTCACTTATACCTAACATTTCTCCATATTTCCAGAACTGCACTGTCCAACAGTGTGGCCACTAGTCCTCTGTATTTAAAATTCAGTAATATTAAATAAAATAAAAAATTCAATTCTCAGCTGCCCTAGCTACATTTCAAGTGCTCAGCAGCCACATGTGGCTAATGGCTACCATTACTGGACAGCACAAGTTATAAAATATTTCCATCGACACAGAAATTCTGCTGGACAATTGTTCTGTAGTCTTCAAAAATATTATTTAAGACAACATTTTACATTAATATTCAATAATTAGTCTCTAAATTGGGCATTTTCTACATATATAATTTATAATTAATATTTACTTCCTAAATTCCTACAAGTGAAATATCTGAACATTACTGTGATTCTCAGCATATATTCCTTTATTACTTCCCAAAAGTTTGATATCACTGCTCATCTGGCCAATATTAGATTTCTTTTTAAAAAATTTGGCTCCTTTAAAACAATGAAAAAACTATCTTAAAGTCATTTGCTTTTGTACATTATGTAAGTGTATGAGTAAATCTTTTTCCTCATAATTTTTATTATTCGTATTTCTTATTTTCATAATGTCATATTGTGACATTTACATATTAGGATCTTGATGGCTAAATTTGCATATTCGGCAATAATATAAGTTGTCATAGCTAATATAATTTCCTTTGTAACTTTTCATAGATATTTTCCACAACTTTCTGTAATCGTTTTAATTATAATATTTTAGTCCAATGAAAGTTTTTAATATTTAAGTGCATCTTTACCTTGCTGAATTCTAATGCTTCAAATATGAGATGTAAAGGTATTTTGTGTTACTTTTTCTTTTAATCTATGGTAGTATAAAGAAGGATAAAAACATTTTTTGTCTAATCAATCTTGCAGTTATACCACTAAATACCACTACCTAATACCACTGAATGAATATCCTATAAGTGGCCTCTCCTTTAGGTAAGAATATTTTATCATATAGTAAGTTGTTGTACGTAGATGAAACTAATTTTGGATTCCTTATAATGCTTCAGTAATCCATGATTTTACAAGATGGAAAAGAAGTTTACTTTTCAGAATTCCTCTTAAGTAGGCAACTGTATTTATTAATGTAGGAAAGTGTATGAAAAGGAAGCCACAGATATAGACAGTAATCTTTTACATAAAGACTAAGAAACAAATGTGCTGGTTTTATCACCTACTCAGAGTTTTAAACTCATAAAATGCTAAATAAATTTTTGAAACTAGTGAAGCGGCTGATTTCACATCTGTATTGACATTGTCAGAAATCAGGGTGGCAGCAAGCAGAGGCAAGAAACATGAGGTCAGAAGTCAGGCACAGGAATTTGCATAAGTCAAAGGACAAAGGGCATTTCTCTTGACTCTCACTGACCAAGAAGTCAGGGGTTCAAGGAAAATTTATATTTAAATTGCCAAGGGGCAGAGGTCCCTTCTACTATCTGCATTACACATCTATTTTTGTATCATTACAACAGTTTTATTTAGAAACTGTTATTTAAAAAAGTTTCTGATATGTAGTAGGGCGAGACTTACTCTTATGAGAATCCCTATAATATAAATCAATATAAATTTTAAGTTAGAAATAAACCTTAAAATCTATAAATTACTTACAGTCAAATAATTAGTCAATGTTCTCATGATTCAGGGAGTTTCTCTCCATTTATCTGAATCTTAGAATGTTTTCAAATATTCTAATGTATATCTTAGACCTTTCTTTC